ATCCGTTTTTCCGGACTCGGCGGAGGTGGTGTTCACAAACTTGACCACGCCGAGAGCTTCTATCGCAGGTAACCCTAGAAGCGGTGTAGTTTGAGCCCGCGTGACGTAAAGCTGTTGGACGGTGCGCTTGTCCTTCCACGCCAGACTAGCTTGGAAAGTGCCCAAAACAGGCAGTGGCTGGCTCCCCGGACCGATAAGCTCTCCTTCTACTGCGTCGAGCTTGCGAGGAACGCCTGGAAGCGACGGCGGAACGACGGTGACGTCTGCTCCCGAGTCCACCTTGAACCTTGTCACGTGGCCGTTGACGCTTACTTCGACGTATCTTGCCCGTTGCGTACGAACAGAGCAGAGTTCGACGGAGCCCAACTTCTCCTTGCGCTTCTTCGCGCGACAAACTTCTGCAAAATGACCTTGCTTTTTACAGAAATTGCAAGTTGCCTTCCGTGCTAGACAGTCCTTGCGGTCATGCGCAGAACGCCCACAATTGCCACAAACTGCGTTGTCCAAACGCTGCTGCCGGTTACGTGCGCGCGACGACGGAGCGGATGACGCAGTCTTTTTCTTCGTCGCGTCGACGTTCAAGGCCGCTGCAGCTTGCGCCGAACGAGAAGCGCGCTCCCTCTCAGCATCTTCGTGCTGGCGTGCTTGTAAAAGTGCTTCGTCAGCGGTGAGCCGTGTGGAACGGCACAGCTGGTCCGATAGCTTCTCGTCCAATAAGCCGACTACGAACTTGTCACGCACTAGGCGGTCTTCTATCTCGGAGCTGTTATAGTTGCAGCGTCTGATTAGGGTTCGCAGCTCTGTGAAAAACGCGTCGACTGTTTCCCCAGGCTGCTGAGTCCTGCGGTGAAATCTTCGGCTTTCGTAAATTTCGTTCGCCGGATGAACGAAGTGTTGAGTCAGCCTCTCCTTGACGGCGGCAAACGGTTGCGTCTCCGGGGTTGGCACGCCAAGCGAAGCTAGTACGGTACGAGCTTGCGGACCCATGCAATAAAGCAACGTTCTTACTTGCGTTTCGTCGCTTGCAGAACGTAGACCGGTGGCGAAGGCGCAGTCCTCGTAGGTTTGAATTCACGTTGTCCATTCGCCTGGGCTCGTGAAGACGAACGGCGACGGCGGTTGAAGCCCCGTGGCCCCGAGGTGGACGCTCTTTTCTTCGTCCGGCATGGCGGTAGCGCTGACTACGAGCAGGTGTATCCCACTTCTGACACCATGTTCAGAGCTTGTGTGCTCTGGGCGCGACGCGCCAGCCGGGCAGACGAAGCAGACGAGGGTAGACGAAGCAGACCCACAACGTTTATTACCCTAGCATCAAGTGGCGAAAAGTACCCCGCGTCTCGCGGCGCACGCGCTTATCTAGATCACGATGCGCTCCTGGCGCCATCTCTTGGTCTCCCCTACAGCCGCCTTTTCCACCGTTTGATGGCGGGTATGTTGACGGGTTATGACGCTGCCAAGAAGTTTTGGGAGCACTTGAACTCACTCGGTGAAACAACGCAAGCTAGACAGAGGTTCATACTCTCGCATCAGGGAGATCAATTAGAGGGAGATGATGCGATACAATATATAGGAGCAGTGATGGAGGAGAAATTTCGGGAACGGTTACATGTGGAAGATAGGAGAACCGAAGGAAGTAGCAGTCCAGTTTGTGACATCGCGGATTTTGGACAAAGAGAATGGGAAAAGGCGGAACGAAGAGTCCCTAGTGGCACCTCGACAGGCACAGATGGTATCCCTATCAAGCTGGTGAAGAATTTGGGTCCTAAATCTAAGGCAAAACTAAGGGAGGTAGTGAGTACCATGATAACAAAAGGAAATATTCCAGATGAATGGAGGCTTAGTAGGATGAGTATGATATACAAGGGAAAGGGAGATAAGTCTGATATTAGGAATTATCGTCCTATAACCGTGACACCGGTTATTTACAGGTTGGTAATGCAGATTATAAAGAACAGACTGGAGGAATGGGTAGATTGCGAGGGCATACTGGGCGAATTACAGAACGGGTTTCGAAAACAAAGAAGGTTGGAGGACAATTTATTTTCTCTAACACAGTGTATAGAAATAGCGCAAAAAGAAAACAGACAGCTCTGGCTGGCATTTCTGGATATCAAGGGTGCCTATGACAATGTGAACCAAAGAAACCTGTGGGACATAATGGAGAACTTAAACCTAGATGAAGGACTAACAGCACTATTAAGGAACATTTACAAAGATAACAAGGTGATTATAACATGGGAAGGAAAGGCGACAGGGAAAATAGAGATAAGACGAGGACTTAGGCAGGGGTGCCCGTTATCGCCTTTGCTGTTTATGTTGTATCTGAGAGGATTGGAGGATAGACTAGAGAAGAGTGGGCTTGGGTTCAACCTTTCTTACAGTAAGCTAGGCCAAAAAATTCAGCAATCCTTGCCGGGATTGATGTATGCGGATGATATTGTACTAATGGCTAACAACAGGACAGAGTTGCAGGAATTAATGAGCATCTGTGGTAGGGAAGGAGAGGAATTAGGTTTAGAATTCAGTAGCGAAAAATCGGCAGTCATGATTTTTAACGAGGATGAGGTTGAGAGGCTGAAGATACAGAATATTACAGTTGAGAGAGCTAGTAAATACAAGTATCTAGGAGTATGGATATGTGATGGTGCAGAATATCTCAGAGACCATGAAAAGTATATAATAGGTAAGGGCAACAGAAATGCAGCTGTAATGAAAAATAGAGCACTTTGGAATTACAACAGGTATGAGGTGGTGAGAGAGATTTGGAAAGGGGTCATGGTGCCTGGCTTGACTTTTGGAAACGCAGTGCTATGCATGAAATCCGAAGTGCATGCGAGACTAGAAATAAAACAGCGCGGAGTAGGTAGACTGGCTTTGGGGGCACATTGCAAAACGCCAAACCAGGGAATACAAGGAGACATGGGATGGGCATCGTTTGAGAGCAGGGAAGCGGTGAGCAAGGTAGAATTTGAGGATAGGTTGAGGCAAATGGACGGGGAGCAATGGGCACGAAAGGTTTTCAGCTATTTATACATGAGGAGTGTAGACACAAAGTGGAGACAGCGCACTAGGAAATTAAGAGGAAAGTTTTTGGGCTATAGCGAAGATACGGAAGAGCAAGTCTCAGTTAAGAAGAAAGTTAAGGCCACAGAAAGAGATTGGTGGCTAGAGGGAATGCAGACAAAGACGGCTCTGGAAAGCTATAGATTAAACAAAAGAGTTATTGCCAAAGAAAGCATTTATGACAATTCTAGGGGAAGCTCATTGCTGTTTGAGGCAAGAACGGGTGTTCTGCGAACCAGAACATACAGAGTGAAGTACCAGGAAATTGATACAGTGTGCACTGCTTGTGGAGAGGAGGAGGAGACGGCTGAGCACTTGATACTCTACTGTAAAGGGCTTCACCCTATGCCTACCGAAGACAACATAGATTTAATAAAGTCATTGGGTTTTAGAGACAGCGAAGGGAGAGTGGATTTCAAGACTGTAGAGATTACCAAGCAAAGATTAAGTGAATGGTGGCAGAAATCGAGAGAAAACTAGGTATTTTCTTATCCACTGATGGCAAGGGGGTTTCATAGCCTCACTTTCTTTGCACTGCGGAGTGAATATAGATTTCACATTTAAATATTCTAAGCTTAAATGGTAAAACAAAATGGCTAGGTGGCGTAAGCTACCGCCCGATCCAAAGGGCTCAGCCGTATTCATCCATCCATCCATCCATCCTATCTCTTGTTCCCGTACTTTATAAACTGCATTTTCTGATCTAAAATACTGAACAAAAACTACTTCCATAAATAATCGAAACGGTTCGCGCCACTTATATTTTGTATTTCGACTAAAAAGAAGCTTTTAGCGGCTCTGACCAGTAGTAAGCCCAGGACCAGAGACTTCACATATCGCGCGCTTTCGGCACCGCGGGTCGCCCCCGTAGGTGGAGGAAGTTTCTGCGTCGTCCGGTTAAAATATGACGCACTGATGTTTAGTTACTCTCTCCGTGCCCGCTGGCTCGCCCGAACTTCAAGAAATGTGGAAACCGCAAAAAAGTGCACGCTTAAATATGATTGTAGGGCCCCTTTAAGCGTAAGCGATAGTTGGCCCGTGCCAAAGGAATGACAAAAGCGATGATAAAATGCTGTATCCTTCTATTCGCTTTTATGATGCGAGTATCGCAGGGATTTCAATAGCTTTCGAGGCATTTTATGATTGCCGCCATATGTACAGTCGTCACCAAACTCACAGAAGACGCGAAAGTTGTTGTATTTCCCGAGAGCGATATTCTGCGGCTTCCGAAGAGCTGCTCCACGCCTTGACACTCATTGGAAAAGCCCTAGAGGGGAAGGCCGCTTGCTCGGGTCGCGGCTGGACTGGGGACAGCACAGCAATTTTGTATGCCTAGCAATCCTGTTGCCCCCCCCCCCCCCCCTCCTTCCCCCCCCCCCCCCCTCACCCCCTCCACACACACACATACACACACGCACACGCACGCACGCACACGCACACACACGCACGCACGCACACGCACGCACGCACGCGCACGCACACACGCACGCGCACGCACGCACACGCACACACGCACACGCACGCACATGCACGCACACGCACGCACACGCACGCACACGCACGCACACACACGCACACACACACACTGCGATACAAAGGTGGCTGCGGAAAATGCCCTGTCCGTAGTTGAGCCGCTATTTGAACCTCGAGTGAGCGGCCTCTCTTGTTCAGGCTGTCCGATTTCGTGCTAGGTCCTGAAGCAGTTCTCAAGCTGCCGCCAGGATAATGCTTCCGGGAGATGAGACACTCCAAGTCATCCACTAGAGAACGATGTCGTTCAGTGTCTTCAGGACGATTTAGTTTTAGGCTACGCCATGTTTCATGGAAAGGTTAATTGTGATTCCGAGTCAATCTTGTGAGATATTCACTCAGTGCGTTCTGGTCAGGTATATTCTGGAGATAGTCCTAAGCTTAGCACAGTTGGGTTCTCAACTTACCATCATTAGTGAAGTGAAAACGTACACGCTGAAGAACCCTATGTCTTCGTAATGCAACTGAAATACAAAACATTGCATCATTTATTGCGATAAATAACGCCAAAATGAATACAAAAAGAAATGACACTTGGCATAATATTAACCTTACCGTAGTCGAGATTTTATCCTGCTTAAAGGCAAGGTCCTGAAACAATACATCATCGTAATATAGAAATGCAATTGCTTACCCTTAAATACAAAAAAAGTACAATTACTTGTAAAATATGTGCGATAAAAAAATCCAAGCTTACCCATATATCGAGAGAAAAAGGACTGACGAATATGCCAACTACACATTGAAATTGGTAAACTGACAAAAAGTTAACCAATTGGCACTAAAAGGAAAAATATATCTATGCTATTTTCGCTTTTCCTGCTAAAAAGTCTCAATATACACGAACTCCGCTCTGCCACGTCACGGTGCGGTGGTGGCACGTCGGGCGCACTTCCGGCTTGGGCTGTGGGCGGAAATCCCCATGCGGGACGTGCTTTCCTGTGTTGTTTTGGAAGAAACCAGACAAAAACCTACCTTCTCGTCAAAACGCCGCGGCTGGGGTTGTACTAAAAGAGTCGGGAAAGGTTTAGATGTCAGTTTTCATGGGCTTTCCGCTTGCTCCGTTCCGTCTAAGAATGTAAACAGAAGCCAAAAAAAAGAAAAAGAAAAACAGACGCCGTTGGATTACGATTGCTTGCGCTAAAAGCCTTTTGGGTTGAATTCAGGGATACTTGTGGTCGTCAGATTTATTTGTTTTGTTCAAGCATGAAAGCGGAAAAAACATAAAGTTATACACGAACTCAACTCTGTTACGTCACGGCGTGGTGGCGGCGCGTCGGGCGCACTTCTGGTCTGAGGCTGTGGGCAGAAGTCCCCATGTGAGACGTGTATTCCTGCGTTGTTTTGAAAGGAACCAGACAAAAACCTGCTTTCTCGTCAAAACGCCGCGACTGGGGCTGCACCAAAAGAGTCGAGAAAGGTCTGAAAGTCAGTTTTCATGCTCGGTTCGTCCGAGAACGTGGGTATGTGTCGTGAAAAGAGAAAACCAGACGCCGTCGGACCACGATTGCCTGGGCGGGAAGCACTTTGGGTTGAATTCACGGATACTTGTGGTCATCATATTTATTTCTTTTGTTCCAACATGAACGCCGGAAAACCGTCAAGATGTACGGATTACCTGCGGACTACGTTTTGTGCGTCTTCAAGTTCGAACGGCTGCCTGATCGTTCGAACTGTCGTCTGCTCTTTCAAACCTTTCTGCTTGTCGTCTGCTCTTTTAGACGACACTGGCTCGTAGACCAAATGTTGGCCCGGTACTTGAGATAAGAAGTAAGTGCAGGTCTCAAAAGTCTTAAGTTTGAAGGTTGGTAAGCAGGCTCGATGTAAAAAGGAGATGTTGATCATTGTCACGAGTGGCAATCACCGACTTGTTATGCCTGATTCACTTGGTCCGGTTCTGCTTGCGATTTTCAAAATAGACGTCGACCATCTCAGCTACGGTTCACGCTATTGCAGCCCGAGCGATGTCGCGACTGAAAATTGCGAGCGAAATCTCATCATGCGAATCAGGCTTTAGCGTACATCCTGCGGCGTCCAGGCAGAATGAACGCCGCATGTCACATTATTCACGTGAAGTTTTGCGATGTAACGAGCCTCGATAATTTTGCTGAGGCCGCTCAAGTGGTCAGACACTGCCAGGAAGACGTAGAATCAACAATTCGAACGCGAAAAAGGGCAGGGGGACTCACACTGACGCCGACAACATCGCATTTCAATGGTTTGTTTATGAGCGACGGTATGGTGTAGCGACGACAAGCTTTTTTGCTCATACTCCATCGCGCATGCGCGGCAGCGGTGGCGTTCGGTAGGGGTATAGTCCCTCGATGTTTTCTTCACTGGTCTTTAATAATATCCAGGGACGTTAGGTAGGGGCGCTCCGGTTTGTTTGTAGACATGAGTTCGTGTACCTGCCGGCTGCGTTCAGTGCGTCTTCAAGTTCAAACGGCCGCCTGATATCGTTCGAATGGTCGTCCGCTCTTTCAAACGTCTCTGCTTGTTGTCGTCTGCTCGTTCAAACGACAGCGGTCCGTAGACCGAACGCGGAGCCGGTAATTGCGATAAGAATAGGGTGCAGGTCTAAAAAAACTTTTAAATTTGAAGGTTAAGTAGGCTCAGTGTAAACAGTAGATACACGATGTTGATAATCGTTAACAGTGGTTATCGCAAACTTGTTATGCCTGGTCAGATTCTGGTTGCAATTTTCAGTATCCACGTCGACCATTTCAGCTACGGTTCCCGCTTGTGCAGCCCGAGCGACGTCATGACTGGAAATAACGAACATAATCTCATCATGCGAATCAGGCTTTTGCGTCCATTCTGCGGCGTCGACGCGGAATAAATCGCCGCATGTCACATTATTCGCGCGAAGTTTTGCGTTAATTTGGGTGAGGCCGCTAGCGTAGTCAGATATTAAAACGTAAAATCAATAACTCTAACGCAAAAAAAAAAAAAAAAGAGAACGGAGACGCATACCGACGTCGACGTTATCGCATTCCAATGGTTTGTTTATGGGCAAGGCGAGCTTCTTGCCAACACTCTATCGCGCATGCGCGGCGCCGATGGCGTCCGCTAGGGGCGCTCTGATTTGTTCGTAAACATGAGTTGGTCTATAAGTGGTCCGAGAACGGCCGTTTCTTTCTCTCGGTTTCATCTGCCCCATCTACAGCCAAAAACTGTCTCTCCCGTAAAAACGTTCTCTCTCTCTCTCAAAAAAAAAAAAAAAAAATCGACGCAATTGAATTTTGTTTTTGTCTGAGACGGCTTTCTTTCTGACAAAGGAAAACAAACAAAACAGTTCTTCTTGCTTGCGTAGCACCTGCTTGACCTCTTCTCTTCTTCAGCGACTCGAGAAACAAAAATACGAAAGGAAAAGAATAAAACAAACGATCACCGCAGAGAGTTCGTGCTGTCCTTAAGTCTGTCTCTCTGTGACCGCACTCGACCCCAAGGAGACAGTCTGCTGTGACTTGCACTTCGCGAATATCTCGCTCGGCGAGGATTGACCCTTGCATTGCATAAGTGAAGCATTCATCGCCCTCTTAAAAAGATCGTAAAACGTTTGTTTTTTTATTGTTTTTTTGTTAAATTCTGGGCAATGTGTTTATTTGGATTACCGGTCCCCTATTATGTAACCCACGCGCATTCCCTTTGTCGTCCGGATTCATTCATTAGCGTAAAACGACAATTTCGGTTTCCCGAAGAGCTTCCCTCTTGGTTCTACGACTACGTCACATCAATCGTCAAACAATTGAAAAGTTTTGCTGGTTTTGCTTTCTGACGTTACGCGTACAAGTCAAAGGCGACCAGAAACTTTCCTTAGATGCTAAATGTCCCATCGCCTAAATCTCCTTGAGCTTTAGCGTCGCTTGATCGACCGCAGCCAACTTTTCGGCTTTGTGCCTTATGCAAACATCCCCTCCGACGAGTACGAGTCCGGTCATCGTCCGACGGCGACACCGACAGCGAAGACGGGGCGAGTTTTCTGCATCGAGGTGCGCGCGGTTCGACGACACGTGCCCGTTCCGTGTCCAGGCCAAGGCTTGGGCCCACATCGACGTTCATGTCATGGTCCTCCGCTAGAAAGCGATCGGAACACGAGTAACCCTGGCTCCTGCCGACGTCGTCTGGGCCGCGATGGCCCGGACGATGTCCACTGTCTCACAACACACGCGGTCGACATGGAGGGTGCTGGAGCGCGCACACAACACACGCCAACGACGCCGAGCACAGACTACAACTAAACCTTCCGCACAGAAAGTGGGACCCACAGTTTATGATATACAGTTTGCCCTCTGTAGAATAAACGTATGGTAATCGCAAACCACGTGATCGAGAATCTTGCGACAATAACAATACACTGTAGAACTAAACTCATATTATATTATTCGCGCAATCTAAATTATATTGACAACCAAAAATTTAAGAACAGCGGAAATTTCTAAAATAATTATTTAAACTCATGAAAGTGCCCTCTCACCATGGATGGGGTAACTAACCACTTTTTATGTTTTGGTTTTGTTGTTTTGCTTTTAAAGACAGCGGACATTTCTTAAATAATTATTTAAACTCATAAAAGTGCCCTCTTACCATGGATGGGGTAACTAACCACTTTTTATGTTTTGGTTTTGTTGTTTTGCTTTTAAAGATAGCGGCATTTTGTGTATTGACTTCTCCCATCCGCTTGCATTACGTTTTCACTTTATTTGTGAAGTGCTCATCGCTGGACGACAATCAGAAGTAATTTATTCCCACAAGCTATTTCAAGCAGGCAACTGTTTGAATTATAATGCAATTAAATGCAAAGGTGCAAGCGAGCTGGACAAGAATGACGAAATGAATCCCTGGAGAAGGGGAACAAGAGGGACAAGGGACAAACATAAATCTCCAAACACAGCTAGGTTACTGGTGCGCGACCGAAAAAATCCGCCCGGTCCGGGTATCGAACCCGGGACCTCTCCATTACAAGTGGAGCGCTCTACCAACTGAGCTAACCAGGGGTTAGACGTCGGTAGAGCAAACGCACCAGTAACCTAGCTGTGTTTCGAGATTTATGTTTGTCCTTTGTCCCTCTTGTTCCCCTTCTCCAGGGATTCATTTCGTCAGGCAACTGTTTATTTTCGCTCTACATTGATACGGAAAAGTTACAAACTACACGTGCAATGATGCGGTTGTTGACGGGTATTAGCGAACAGACACGGTAGTACAAATATTTGGGTTTTCGCCTTCAAGCTATGTGCATAAAAATGATAAACCGACGATCAATCAACATAGTCTAAACAGGTAGAGGTAAAGTCGCGGTAAAGGCATTTCAAGACAGCTATTCGCTCATCCATTTTTTTACAATGCTAGCTGCACGCAAAAGACACACAGACTTCACATTGCTTCACACAACGAGGGTGATTACAAACCGTTTGCTTTAACAGTAACCACAGGCTAATGTAGTTGATACAACTTTGTTTGGAGGTGCATAAACCTACCCGTCCTTTTCGCCGAGATGAAAGTTCGACATACCTGGTTAGTTTTGTCTGAGGTATTATGGATCTAGCCAGTCGATTTCTTTAGCAGGACGTTTAGAGGTTAGTCGGGTATGTG